CACCCGCCAGCATGTCATCGCCCACTCTGGTTTTTAATCCAATTTTTCTGTTCCCCTGTCTGGCAGAATTGCTACAGAGAGGGAACTTGCACCACCTAGGTTTCCCCAAATTTCCTCTCCAGACTAATTAGCAATAGTGGGCATCCGGACCGTCTGGGACTGCTCAGCAGTGGTGGTCATTCAGGGTTGTCCTCATTTTCTGGAATGACTAAAAGTTGTTCTCTATTTAGACTTATAATGGGCGCCTTAGCGTTAATTTCATTAGAATTTTGATTTATTCTTCACCAAACATGCTTCCTTCAGTGTTCCCTATCTCTTTGATCTTAACTTCAGAATATATGTTGAATCCAATAGTTGATGCTTCAAACCATAATATGTATCTACTATATGTAGCAATAGCATCCCAATGGGCTCCCTGCTTGATTGCTTGGAGGTTATGAATCCGAAACTTCTTAATTCTACACTTGTCCTTTTATACTTTTGTACTTCAGGGGCCCATAGGAGGTTCTCCTCCCTCCTCGGCCTCCCAGGTATTTTAACCAGAAGGAAGGACTACCAGGAAAATCAGAATCAAAGTTTGTTTCCTCTGTGTGGGACATGCTGACAAAGTATTCCTGCCTCTAGGAATTCCTTGGACATGGTGGCTCCTCTGGTAGACAGGATAACAGTCACAGCATCTCCAAATGGTATAGGAATGATGAATTCCAGCTGAGAACCTTTTAGGCAGTTTCTGATCTTCATATCACCCCATTCTTCCTTCTGATGGTGTTTATTCCTGAACTCTCTCCTTCGTGAAATAACTGGGTTGGTTTCTCTCTCTTGACTACAAAGTTTTGCTATTTCCTGTTCTTCACCTAGCTGTCATTGATATTTTCAGAACATATGCTGACCTTTATTAGTCGCTTGCTCAAAACTCTCCAGCAGGTTCCTGTCACACTGAGAACAAATTCAAAGCCCACGCCATCCTCTGTAAGCCCTATGTGTCCTGCCCTCTGGGTATGCCTCTGCTTGTAGGACTCACCCACTTAATGAGTGTTAGCCAGAGTGGCCTCCTTGCTGTTCACTGAACACTTTAGCACATTCCCATCCCAGGGCTTTTTGGCACTCTGTGTTCTTTGTCTGGAGTGCCCAGATAACTTTCCCAATTTTGTAACTTTCACAATAGCCTGTGAGTTGAGGCTTATCTGAGGTGCTTCTTGGTGAAGCAAGACATTTGGCAAAGCCACTCCACCCTTCTTCCTCTGCTTCACCCTAGCTTGGTAAAAACAAGTCAAAACAAACACCACAACATTCTGTTTAGAGGTTTCATGGTTGAAACTGGTGGACTACACCTGAGAAAATATCAGAGGAGCAGGCTTCTGATGTTACAAAACAAATCGGTAGCCTCCCCCACACAACCCAGGATCACCTGTGCATAGCAAGCAGGCAGCCGAAGGTCAGTATCTAGTACTGTGTTGCAATGTTGAAATTAGCTCGAAGTTCACCAGGGGAGGATGCTTGGTTATCTTTTTTTTGTTGTTGTTGTTTTTATCTGATCAGAGAGTGACCAATTTTAAACTCTTGAGTTAATAAGCATTGTGTGAGCATGAATTATATAAGATAAATGGAGGTATGTGTTGTGCTGTGAGCTAAGAATTATAAGTAATAGAATTCTACTTAGTGTGAACTAGGACAGAAATCCATGTCTCATAAAGTTGATCTGAGTGGCAGCAAGCTGCTTTTCCTCCTGAGAATAAGATGTGTGGGTTGTTTTTAAAAAGAATATACTGATGTGGGGGCTGGAGAGATGGCTCAGTGGTTAAGAGCACTGGCTGCCCTTCCAGAGGACCCGAGTTCAATTCCCAGAACCCATATAGCAGCTCACAACGGTCTGTAACTCCAATTCCAGGGGATCGGACACCCTCACACCAATAAAATAAAATTAAATAAAATATTTTTAAAAAGAATATACTGGTGTGTTGGCACACACCTTTAATTTCACCACAGGGGAGGCTGGTAGATCTCTATGAGTTCAAGGCCAGCCTGGTCCTCATAGACAGTTCCAAGGCAGCCCAAGGTTATATGGTTAGACCTTGTCTCAGAAAACAAACAAATATATCATGATTCCATTGTGCACAATCACTGAAAGTTTGACTTTATGTCTCCTAAATATTTTCTATATTGGAGAAACCAATTGTCTCAGGGTTTCTAGTACTGTGATATAACACCGTGGTCAAATGCAACTTGGGAAAGAAAGGATTTATTTCAGCTTATAGTTCCGAATCACAGTCCATCAGTGAGGGAAGTCAAGGCCGGAACTCAAAACAAGGCAGGAACCCAGAGGCAGAAACTGATGGCAGAGGCGGTGGAGGAGTGCTGTTGACTGGCTTGTTCCTCAAGGCTTGTACAATCTATCTTTTTATAGCACCTAGGAGCAGTGGCACTTCCCACAGTGAGCTGGGTCACCAACATTAATCATCAGGCAAGAAAATGTACCATAGGCTTGCCCACAGGCTAACCTGGTGGGGACATTTTCTCAATTGAAGTTCATTCTTCCCAAATGACTCTGCTTGGTGTCAAGTTGACATAAAATAGCCCGAATAGCAATTGAGAGCATTTTGTTAGATGTATTTAAAAAGCACATCCAAATGCTTCAGCAAAACGATATTGTTATGGAACCAAAAAAGGACTAGAATTGTATGTATTCCCAACTGAAATACTTTCCCTTCTCGATTTTGAATATGGCCTATTCATTGACTTAAGTGACCAGGGACCAATAAAATCATCACTTCAAGATTAGGGGTATGGGGTAGCTCCCCACAAACTACTTCCAGGAAAGACAGCAACCTGGTAATTTAAGAAGACCCTCCCTTTTCAGTTAAAACATACTTTCTTTATTGAGGGTGAGCTATTCCCTGACCCTCCCCACAACAACCTCAGAGCCTGTTCAGGGCAGAAACCCATCCTCAGCACACAAATTATGTCAGCCGTGTACCGGTGGCCCACGCCTGACCCAGAAGCTCTCCCTTGAACTTTTGTTAGGATTCTCATGAAAGAGGTACGAAGTGAGATCATTTGATCCTAGAACACACTATGGCTAATTTTCACTAACCAAAGGAAATGAGTCCCAATAATAAAGTTGGTACTGAAGAAAGCAGAGCTTGGAGGCAGTGTCTTAATAAGATTGGACGGAACAACAAGCTTGAAGCTTAAAGTACGTTTTTCTGCTCTCTTATTTCCATGAGCTGATGATAAACTTCCAAATCATAGGCACCTAAAGTTTGAATTGTCACTTGTTATAAAAATAAACTCAATTTGTAGAGAGAACTCCAAATTTCAGGCCCTCTGATTAGCACCAGTATAGGGTAGGAAGAATTCAAACATCTTAAAAGTTGTTATAATATTTTTCTGTGTGGTAGAAATTAAGGCCATTTATCAATTGAAACTTGTTGACCATTTCTGAGCAGCAAATATATTCTCACAGAGAGATGGGCCCTGAGAAACCACAGCTAACTTCCTAGGACATGGAAGCAGAGCCACAAAGAAGGAAGACAGACAGCCCTGGACACTGCAATACACACTCAGCCCTCAAAAGTTAAGACAATGAAGCTCAATTTCCCTGCCCTTAAATTTTTTCTCTGCCAGAAACTGAGGAAATGGAAGTATATTATTTTTGTACCAAAGATTGCATTTTATTAGTTATTAAATATCTACAAATTTTTACCAAGTTAACCTCCGTATATATCTATCTTTATTCCTCTGCTCAGTTGTTTCTACAAAATTCCCAGGTGATAACAAATACATGTTTAATTTTTATAGCCAAATACATCTTCAATGTGTTTATACCTATTTATAGTCCCCATCAGTCACTATCAGCAGCCTCTCCAGCACTCGGTGATGTCAGTGTCTTAAAATTATTATCCTGGTTGGTGTGTAGTGATACCACACTGTAACTTTCTATTTGCACTTCGCTAAGGAATAATGAGAGTGATTGCCTTTTCAGTTTGCAGGTATTTCTATGAGTATTTAGAACACATTTTATAGCTGGGCAGCAGAGGCAGGCAGATCTGTGAGTTTGCCTGGACTACAGAACAGAGAGAGTTCCAGGACAGCCAGGCTACACAGAGAAACCCTGTCTCAAAAAAAAAAAAAAAAAAAAAAGCAAAAACCAAAAACAACAACAAAACCCAACAGATTTTATGAATGGTGTTGAAGATGTCAGATTGGGATTGGAGTCATAGACACCTTAGATGCCTCTCCTAGCACTCAGCATATCCTTTAGCAAATACTAGCTTTGATATATAGCTGTTTGTGTTCACATACCAATAATAGTCAGAAAATAACACACTTGGGTAACTAAAGAAAGAAAAATATACAAGCCTTCACCAAAAAAAAAAAAAAAAGTCAGATGGCAGATGGCATCATTTTCACAATCTCTAGGGAGTGAAACATAATCTTTGGAAACAAGGAAACCCCAAAGGAAGATGATAAGATTGAAGAATAGAAAAGACAATAAGGAAAGGGCAGAGGCTTAAAAGTAAGTAGAGAAGTGGAAGAGTAGCTTAAGAGAGATGAAAT